CAGATCTTCTTGACTGGATCCAACTGAGACCACAGACGGCTCGCTGCCTCTCAGCACAGTCACCAGGCTCATGGCGGGAGGAGGGGGACAGAGCGGAGTCACCGTGTCCGGGCTGCGGCCCGCCGCCCAGCGCCTCCTTGGGCTCCCCTTCCATGGCACTCGCTGAGCAAGCCCGCTTCCCTCCAGCTGGGCCTGAAACCATCTTACCACGCGGAAACACGCCTGTGACTGAGGCCTGTCAGAGGACCAGGCAGACTGGCCATGGGTGGCACCTTCAGCCATTCGGCCGCAGCCAGGGACAGACACGGTGGAAGGGCCCACACACAGGAACTGCTCCTGCCTCCCAGGGCCGTGAGGCTCCGCCTGTCACAACACCCCCAGGTGCCCGCCATGCGGGGACACAGGTGTGGAGAGGTGCACCTGCTCCCAAACCCAGACCCCCACTTCTACCCGAACCTCGAGGGTTGCGGGCTGCCATTCGAAGCAAAAGCCAGGTTTTAGACCAAGTGCCTTATGCGGGGAACATGGACTAACGCGGAGGGAGATGCTGGGTATTTCAGATCCTTAGGCTGTAACTCCATCCCTGTTCAGTTTGTCTCCTGCCGTTGGCCTCCCCTCACCTTCTTCCTTCCGGAGAACCAGGGGCCCTGGCCCTCACGCTCCATGTCGAGGAGGGAGGGTGGGGAGACCTTCCAATGACATCTTTGTCTGGGAAGCGGGGTGGGGTGTTTGGAGGGTGCTGGCCCGTCAGTTCCATCTTTGCCAGAGTCCCAGAATTAGAATCCATGCCACAGATGAGCCACAGTGGAGGGACCTAGGCCACGACCCTGCAGCCTGCTGACCCACAAGTAGTGGCTCACCACCCTCACTCCTGGGGTAGAAGGGGTTCCTTCCCAGGAAGGGCATGGGGTCTCAGGCAAGGAGCCCCGGGCCCATCAGCTCCAGGGACAGAGGGAGATGCGCTCCGGGGGGGGGGGGGGGGAGCGGGGGGCACGGGTATGGAGGTCATGTGCTGCAACGCCTTGCTGCGTCTTCACAGAATAAGCCCCCTTTTCCAGACAAGAAAGGTGGACACAGTGAGAGTGCCCACCCAACTCCCGTGCTGACACCAACGCAGGACCAGCCTGGGGACAGCCATCACCATGTTGCCTGTCCACATGGGGAGGAGGCCCTGGTGCGTGTGAGCACGGTGCAGGCGTCTGTGTGTGTGCGTGTGAGGGACAGAAGACACCTGGTTTCTTGAATGTTTCCTTTTTTTAACATACATTTGTATTAATTTCAGAGAGGGAGATAGAAACATCAGTGAGAGAGAATCATTGATGAGCTGTCTTCTGCACGCACCCCGACTGGGGATCAAACCGACAACCCGGGCATGTGCCCTGACCGGGAATGGAACCGTGACCTCCTGGTTCGACGCTCAACCACTGAGCCACGCTGGCACACCGACCGGGCTTGAATGCTTCCTTTAACTATGTTTCCTTTGTTTTTAAAACACTGTACTTTCAGAACAGGTTATGAATTACGCCCAATTTGTGCAACGTGGCAAATGATGCAGGTCCACCGAGCAGGCAGCACACGGTGCGGGCAGACCCTGGGGCGGGCACGGGCACCGGGCTCCTCCAGTGAGTGTTATGATCAGTGAGTGTGCACATTTCCTTTGAAAACTGTGTGTAATGCTTTAAAAAATATAGAAAAAGAATACAACTCATTTCCAACAGAAACCGTACTGTGATGCTGCTGTGGGTCCAGGACGCAGGCAGGCCCTGCCAGGACAGACCAGGCCACCTTTCCCTCAGGCACCTGTTTCAAGGCCACGGCGGCACTGAGGAGACACCCAGGGAAAGACCACCCGCGTCCTCTGGGGATGTGGCCATGCTCTGTCCACAGGGGAAGAGGCGGGCTGGGACCAGTCTGAGTGGCCAGATAAAATAAAGGCTGCAGACACAAGCAGGGAACTTCAAATACTTTATTGACACATTTCACATTACAATACAGTCAGAACACAGTCCAGCACGGAGGCACACAATGATACACAGCAGCACATTTCCAACCCTGTCACTCCCGCTCTCCACATCTACCCTGAGAGGCTGTCCCAGGGACGGGCGCGTGGGAAGTGGGGTAAGCGAGTGCAGTGCACTCGGTAGGACGGACACACGAAGGAGGTGAACCCAGAGGAAGGAAGCAGTCGGCCGGCTCCGAGCACGCACGGCGCCCACAGCTCCACACGGGACAGCGGAGTGGCCCACACCCGCCGCCGCGGCACACTAGGTTGGGAAGGTCCCGGGCAGCCTGAGCCGGCACCACCCAGCAGAACAATAGGCACGGCTACTACTAACACTGAACTCATGCAAAAGCGGTCCTGCAAAGTAGAGGGCAAAACAGAGGGTTAATGACACGCCAACGGCTGCCAGGACGCACGCCTCCTGGTCACACTGCAAAGTAACAGAACCCAGTGTTATTCTCTCCAGCCAGAGACCTGGGGGAACAAGTCAGGAGCGGACCTGTCGAAGCAAAGCTGCGCGTCATCCAGGCGTCAACAGTGCGCACTGCACGGAGACAGTCCCCCGCGCAGAGGAGGGCAGGAGGTGAGGGAGGGCTCACCCGGAGAGCAGGGCGGTGGGATCAGAGGGGTTCGCGGGAGAGTCCCGAGCGGGGAGGACCAGGAGGCCCGACCTGGCCCAGCCACCGGAGCAGCAGGAGCAAGGAGAGAGCCAGTTCAGAAATGAGAAAACAGCGGTTGGGGGCCTGCTGGTTGTTGATCCTGAAAATTAAACAGTGGAATTAAAGTCTTAGTTAAAACCCTCACAGAGGAGACAGTTCTGGATCCCTTGCCTGTGAAAAGCAAAGCTGAATTATAAAGCCGGAGGACCATCTGCTCTTCAGACGGCAGTGTGAGTGCGCACGCACACAGAAGCCCTGCGGGGTGTGTCCGACCTCCTGCAGGACACAAAGCGATGCGGACAGTCCTGAAGCAGCAGCGCCCACGGTGCTCGCCTCGGCCTGGAAGCAGCGGGAGGGAGCCCTGCTGAAACGGGCGAGGCAGCTAACACCGAGTATGTGCAAATACCACACCTGTCCGCTCCGCAGAACCCACTACAATTTAAAACCACGTAACGTTCCTTCATAAAGGGCCTGTACTTTTCTGCAAACCTTTTAAAATTAGTAAAATAAAGCAAGGCAAAACACCCAACATGGGGCCTTTCACACCTCAGTGCTAGAAGTCAAAGTGCCTCACTAACAGCGCTGCCCCAGCTGCCCCGACTTAAAGGACTTCCTACCAGAACACGGCCCAGAAGAGTTAAGGTTGTAAATATTCTCTGGAAAAGGTCACTCCGCGTAAAACCAACACCCCTTCCCAACCACCCATCAGCGGAAGGTACACCTGGGATCCAATATGAATCAGCGGGTTTTGCTTTGTTTCCAGTGCACAAAACCATGGCACTTTGAGTGATAAAAATTAAATACTAGTAGGTTGCAAAAGAACCTTACACAAAAATCCTTAGGATTTAATAGTAAGTCAAGGCCACACGCCTTCAGAGAGTTTTTATGTAAGAGTGTCCAAATAACACTTCATTCACAAATTTTAAAAATAGTTGAAAAGATCAACTGAAATGTTCATTAAATAAATTAAAAAAATCTCAACTCCTAATTGATCTGACTCTGTGGCCTCCTTCCTGGGGGGGTCTCCTGTCCCATCTCCTCCCCCCAGGCCTCCCTGCTAGTGGATCCCCCTTTAGAACACATCACAGAAATGTGTGAACCACCAACAACACCGTAAGTATTTTCTCCAAATCAACAATCACACAAGGGGGAGGGCCTCTACCTGACCACAGGGAGTAAGAGCAGGTCTCACAGGACACAGCGGCCGGGGGGGGGGGGGGGGGGGGGCTACAAGCAGGGAGGGAGGGCCCTGGCAGCGCAGGAGCCCACCGCCATCCCAGCCATCTGCAAGGACGGCCGGCCGCGTTCTGCCTCTCAGGGCTCCACGCACACAGACCTCACTCCAAACCTAACTGTCCTCAACAGGGTCCGTCAGTCCAATGGTCTACGAGCCGTCAAGCTTACCTTCGATTGAACAGAAATAAAACACAAAATAAACACAACAAAACAAAACAATGAAAGCCCAAACAGAAAACTTGAGTAACTGCTCAACATCAGCTCGATGAGCAGGTCTTACTCATCTACCCACAAGAGCCACCTGCCGTCCCGTGGGCAAAGCAGGATCACTGAGTGCAAGATGGCTCTCCACCCCTCCCCCTTCCCGCAGGAGCGGCCAGCAGACACCGACCACACATGCGCCCCCCGCCTCATGCTCCGGGACTGCACCGCCTGCTCCCGAGTGCATGTGTCAGGGGACAGGCCATGGTGACGTCTCATTTCAGCAGCTTCCTTCTACAAAACCGTCCTCTCCCACAGATCCCCTTCCTCCTGCCCCTCCCCCACACCTCCCCGGCTCCTCCCAGCAACAAAGTCCTCTGTTGGTAGAATTAAGCAAAATGCTGTATGAAAAAAAGACCCCAGGGTGCGGGATCCACACTGTCACAGTTCAGGGATGCTACAGAACCAAGCATGAACAATTGTTTCTCAGGACCTTTAGCATCATGATGAGGGCGACCCAAATTAAAGTGCATATGATGAAGCCTGCTCCTCCCCCTCCCACCCCACCTCCCTAGGGCTGCGGCCACAGGCACCCACTTAGGATGCTGCCTGTCCAGACACGGGACCCTCAACATTTCTTTTGGGAAGAAAAGACAAGATTTTTCCTTTAGAAGAATATCAGTATAAGGATTTAACAAATGTGGCCAGACCAACAGTAATGCAAGCTTATGCTCAGATAGGTAGTTAGGTGAACTTGTTACAGCACAAAACCAAAACAAGGTAATGCGAAAGGAAAGTAATGGCTCCACATCATCACCTACTGTATCTACCTTATGAGATATACTGATATTCACTGGCTTTAAGCTTCTTGAATTTGTGAACAAATAATACACAGGTCAGGATCAATGTATTGACTTACTCCCATCTTTATAAAAATCGGATATACACATGAACACGTCAACAATTATGGAACTGCATCCATTAAACTTTGATGAGACAACACAAAAGAACTAGCAAAGAGCTAAGGTGTTGCTGAATTGAAACATCTCCAATAACACTTCAGTTTAAAAGGTCCGTATTTACAGTGTGTTGGATGCATCTGCGTCTCATTTAAATGCATGATAAAGAAAGAACAGAGATAATGGTTGCAACAGATCTTCCAAGAGGGCTCAGCTCGGTGCCCTGCGAGAAGTGCACCACCAATGGGAAGAAATCACTTCCTAATGCTGCTGCTTTCCTTTCCTGCCGTTTCCTCCAAGGAAACTCAGCTTTGTCCCGGGGCCCGGCTGCACTGCAGTCCCCACCCAGCGGCCCCGTGTGGAGCGTGCCCTCCTGGGCTCTGGAAAAGGCCCACGCCCCCCTGGAGGACAGGGCATGGAGAAAAAGCATGCCCGGGTGTGCAGACAGCACAGACACATCCAGGCACCCACGTCATCGCATGCCCTGAAGCAGCCGTGAGTCTGTCTGCAGCAGCTGTGGTGCAGGACAGGTGGGCTCGCCATCACTGATCGGAAAGAAGGACGCTACACACCCACGCTCCAGAGACCACATGCAGGGCTGTGGCCTCCAAGCCACCGCACACTCCGACTATTTCAGAAAGCGGCAAAAGTCTGTTCAACTCATCTTGTTGTGGCAGGAAGTCTTCGGTGACAGTCCACCGACTGTGAGCCTTCCCGCTGGCAACAGAGTGGGGAGTGGTCTGTAACTAGAGCTTCCGGCTACCTTGTCACTTGAATGCACTGCGCTACGGTTTCTATGTGAGCTCACCTGCAGCTGTGAGAGGGGGCAGCGAGCCCGCGTCAGGCAGCTGCTGGGCATAGGCACTGACTCAGTCAGGGGCTCTCTGGAGCAGGGTGCCAGGTGCCCAGTGGGCAGTGCTCCCGGGACCCTAGGCGTGCCTGCGATTTCCTGAGCTGACCTCTCCGGGGAGCGCCCTCAGCAGCACCCTCGTTTCCTAGGCTCACTCAGCACCACACCATCTGAGAATCAACACTACACGAGGTCCACAGGGTCTGGCTACTCCCCTCCACTTCTGCTCACTTAGTTTGAAAAAGTAAAATAAAACCTCAACTGTACAAACACGATGGTACAAGCCCCCACACCTGGGTCAGCTCCAAAGAGGAGGCCTCCGGGCTCCCAACCTCGTCCCCGCTGGGCTAACCAGACAGTACGTGGCAACATGCTTCTATTTCTATCACTTCTATGGATAACTCTGACCACAGCTAAAAAGTCTACGTGTGCCCCAGTGCCATTCGCTCAGTCAGGTCCACGTTAGAGTCACTGCTAGTGAACTCCTACGTGAGCAGAAATGCAGTAAGGCACTTTTCCACGCTCACCCAGAATCAATTCTCCTAAGGTTGGTCGTTGGGGGCACGGCCCCACCTTAAGGAGCCCACGCACCCTCACTCATGGGTGACACACACACTTTGCTCTGGGTCTCACGGTCCCTGTGAGACAGCCTCCCCCACGCCACGCCGTGGAGAGTGGCGTGCTGGGGTCTATGCCGCCTTGCCCTCGGGTCTACGGAAGGGCAATGCAGCGCCACTCTGAGGCCTTATAAAAAAGGTCATTCAAAGCGATGACAGCCAGCTTCCCTAGGAGCGCTGCGTGCCGCAGAGCCAGTGACATCTGCCCCCTGGGTTGCATTTAAAGAGAAAACACCAACCACGTCTGTTCAAGCTTCAAGCTGTCCCTCCGCCCGGCAGGCCCACTGTGCCATCAGACAGGGAGCTCCAGTGAGGGCCCCGGCCAGAGCTACACCACCTGGTCCTCGCCCTATTTGGAAGTTAAAAACGGGTGGGGAGTCCCCTCAGGAACTCGGGATATGCAAATGGTGCAGAAGCAGCAGAATCTGCCGCACCATGCCCCTTCCCCACCCGCCCTCACACCCTGCTTTCTGGGATAGGCAGCTGTCAATCACAATCACCCACATTTTCACCTGTTTTTACAAGAACCAGTAGAGGGCTTTCTGAGAAGACGCCTCTGGTCTAGCCTGCACTGAAGATAAGTGCAACCATTATCAAATATTCTTTGCTATGGAAAGTACTTAGAATTTGTGCTGCTAATGTTCCTCCCTGAACCTAAGTCACGGTGAGCGATCGATCAGACGGTAAAATTACGAAGGACAGTGTCTACATGCATTGTAAGCACTTTGAAAACAAAAGAAAACAAAAACTGGAGTTCTCAGGAGTGGCCACAGAATTTGAAGCCATCAACACCGAACTCCAGCCTGCCACGTCCTGCAAGTTCAGCTCTCCCGGAACCAACGCTGGGCCGCCCGGCGCTCTGGACAAGAGTTAGCAGACTGGACCGAGACCTCGCTGGCAGGTCCTGTGCCGGCAGCTTCCTTGAAGCAAGTCCACAGCTGTGTGTGCAGTGTAAGGTCGGCCTCCCTGCTAGAAATCACTCCACGATCAGGGCCACGTTTATGTGGGACAAATCTATCATGTGCCTGTGGAGATGGAAACAAACAGCCAAGGTTAAGTGAACTCTGAACACAGAAGGCGACTTCTAGAAGCAGGAGAAAGCTAGAGGGGAATGTGGGCCCTGAGGGACAGAGAGCATTGGCATGAACACCAGGGACCAGCGTCCACATGAGAGGAGGCACTGTCCCCTGTGCATGAATATGCATCTATACAGTGACAGGTGCAGACACAGCAGCATGCGAAGCAACAGCTCCAGTGACCGAGAGCACATCACACAGGAGAGGTCCCCGCCCGCACCCACGTCACCAAAACCATGGCATCCACTGCTACCTGTGGAACTTCTGCTGAAATGCTAACGCATGGGCTGGCTCCTTAAACTTGGCTATGGCTTTCCGTTGCTGGGGAAGCATCTGTAAACTCTAGAGGAAGGAAACAAAGAAACATTTTAACATCATGCTTTCTATGGTTAAAAAAATATATACATGCAAATATTAGATTTAATACAAAATTGAAGTTCAGGCTGATACTTGGATCACTAAAACAAACTAATTCTATTTCGTGGGAATTTTTCTTACCCATCTAGATAATATATCCAAAAACTCTGTTTCAGGAAGTCATTCCCCTGACCAGCACTTATAACCTCCAAGCCTGGCATTAAGACCTTGCATCATCTGACCACACCACTGCCCAATCTTCCCTCTAAACTTTCTCTGAGGCTTGGTGGCAAGTACCCTTGGAGAGTCACTTTTTGTTCTCAGGCATTCCCGTCAGGTGATTGTCCATGGAATCTAGATTTTGAAAATACTATGCTCCTCTTCTAGAAAAAAAATATTTCTAGATTTCCGGGGTGACTGTCCTGTGTGTGAGTCACCAATGTGAAATGAAGGCATGAGCTTCGTTTCTACCATTACCATGAAAGAGGATTCGTGCACATGTATCTAAGTGGTTTAAACCTCAGTTTGATGGAGGACTATCAGTCAAGACAGCATCAACTGCAACGAAGTTCTTCAACCACGAGAATGACGGGCTCTCCAGTGGTCAACACCCGTCACGAGAACACTGTTACAGTCGCCTGCTGGCTGCTCCCCTTTATTTACACTGTGACGCCCTTCCAATAAGACAAACCCTTATTTTCTAGACATGAGAATGAATTGTAGAAATTGTCATATTCAACCTACCGATAATATTAGTGATTTCTTTGGAAGGAGAGGAAAAACATGTTTCACTGAAAGGTGAAAGGTTGTGATCACCGGTTTCCAGGTTTTTATATAAACACAAATCACCCAGAACAGACCAAACCTTAAAATCTGTCTCGAGTCTCTACTGTTCACTCTGACTCCCCAACCCGCCTCCAAACAGCTTCCTGACATGCCACGCGGCTGCACTCACCAACCTTCCCCGAGGTACTGTCCATTCTTTGCAGACAAGACGTCTTCCGACAGTTTCTGAGAATACGTAATTGCTCTGCTATTAATCACAAAACACGAGCTGAAACGTTCCTTGAGTTGGCCCTTCCTGCGTTCACACGCGAGTCCCATCAGAGCCATGTGACTGCAGTGCGTGGGACATGCCCCTAACCGCAGTGTGCACGCTGTTCAGAAGCCTGGCCTCCTCCCGCGAGGACCGTCCTCTTTCTGGGAGGAGCCTCTACGTGTCCGTGCTGGACAGAGAAGGAAATGTTGGGAAATGAAGCCGACTCTCTGCCCTGGCAGACCCATTCCATGCTTTCCCACTGGCCAAGGATTCCTCACCTTCAGGGATGACCTAAAGCCAAAACGATACTAACTCTTTTAAACACGAGGGGAACTGCTTCAGAGCAGCCCCGTTTGGGCAATGGACCTGCAGCACCCGGTGGCAGTCAGCCTCGCCCCAGGACATCTTTGCTCCTCCCGGCGGTGCTTCTCGTAGTAAAACGAGTAGGACTTTATTCTGGAGTCTCCCTGTGCACGGCTCACTGGCACTCTTGCTGGTAAGGGGCAGGCAGAAGCAGCAACCCTGTCCGGATGGGTCCGAGCAGAAACACGGGAAGTTCGCTGCAGGGCCTCGGGCAGCCCCATCCCAAGCGCACCGTCACAGAATCGAAGGCACTCTCCCACCTGCCAGGCCTCTGACACAGATGCTGCGCGGCTCCCGAGTTCCTGAGCGTCTTCACACCCATCCACGTCCACCACAGGGTGTTCCGTGTTCCCTGTCCCCCTCAGACTGATCCTTCCGACACGGGCTCCTCAGAGCTCTGCCTCCCACTGCCTCCTGAGAGCCGCATGGCTTCCTGGCTTCCAATGCTTCCGAGACTCTCCACGGGGCCTCCAGCTCACCTGCTGCCAGGAGAACTGCAGGGCCTGTGGCCACGCACGGACCTTCTTTAAGCCTGGTGGCAAGGGGTTTCCGGCAGCCGACGTCTGACCACCCTGCTATCTGCTTTCCCAAATGTTCTGAATGCAAACTGACTCACTCTTTCACTGGAGATGCCAACATCTTCACGTCACCCACCAGACCCCTTCCTGGCCGGTCAGACCCAGACGCAGTGGAGGTGTTCTCGCCGACGCATGTCCCCTCAGGAGTCAGGTTCTCTGCGGTGACCCTGCCTTCCTGGCTGCCTGGGGGACTCCGTCTGGGTGGTAGAGATGTTGTCTGAGGCTGGTTAGCTGGTGTCCTGAAGCAACTGCAGGGGGACAGGCCCTCGGACAGAACCTGCTGATGCAGGGGCACTAGTGGGAGGGGTACTTCTGCTTCGTCCTCCCTGCTTTCACACGCTTTGCCCCAGTGACACGGGCCTCTTTGTTTCTTTAGTTTCCCTCCCTGCCAGGTTATGCCAGGGAACAATCAGGTGCGGGTGGTGTTACCAGTCTTTTGTGACTTATGAGAGCCTCAGTCCAAAAGGCACGCACAAAGAAATGGCAAAACCGGGACTTCCACTGAAGCCTCATCTCAAAGCCCAACTCCAGCTGCTACCAGCTGCATCCTACCTCCCGGCTGCCCGGGAAAACTACAGCCACCAGCAGAGACACGGTAACGGGCACAGGCCGGGCACAGGCAGGCCACACCTAAGCCCCAGCCGTTATTACGGTACAAGGGTTGCAGGGAACCTTAAGCGATCACCAACTCCACTCTTCTGAGGAAATGACTTTTTTTTATATACCATGGTGTTTCATCTACACTAATAAAAGGGAAACATGCAAATTGACCGGCCCACCACAAAGCCCACCAGCCAGTCAGGGTGAGTATGCAAAATAACCCAACAAAAATGGTGGCGGCCACGGAGCTGGAGTGAGCAGGAGGCTTTGGCTGCTCCCGGCAACGAAGGAAGCCAAGCTTTCCCGCCCGCCCTTGCCTCCGCTCAAGGAGGGGCTGGGGGCCTGGGTCACCAGGGGGTGGGGAGAGGGGGCGTGGCCAGCGTGAAAACGGCCCTCAGCCCCTCACCCAGGCTGGCCACACCCCCATGGGGTGAGGGTCCCCACTGGGGGGCTTGGCCAGCCTGCAAACAGCCATCAGCCCTCATCCAGGCTGACCAGGCACCCCAGTGGGGACCCCCATCCTGAAGGGGCTGTGGCTAGCCTGAAAACGGCCCTCAGCCCCTTACCCAGGCTGGCCACACTCCCATAGAGTAAGAGTCCCCACTGGGGGGCGTGGCCAGCCTGCAAACAGCCATCATTGCCTCACCTAGGCTGGCCAGACACCCCAGCGGGAACCCCCACCCTGAAGGGGGTCTGGCCAGCTTGAAAACAGCCCTCAGCCCCTCACCCAGGCAGGCCACGCCCACCCAGTGGGGACCCTCATCCCATGGGGGTGTGGCTGGCCTGCAAACCACCACAGGCCCCTTGCCCAGGCTGCCCCACCCCCCAAGGGAACCCCCCCCACCCTGATCCGAGACACCCTTCAGGGCAAACCAGCCAGCCCCCACCCGTGCACCAGGCCTCTATACCAATAAAAGGGTAATATGCTAATTAGACTGGGAGACCTTCCAGGAGACCTTCTGGACATTCTTCTGGACAAAGCCATGGTGGCAGGGCCGAGGTAGAGGCATTTAGAGGCAAAAAGGGGAGGGCAGTTGGGGGCGAGCAGGCCATCAGTGGGGATCAGTTGGGGGTGATCAGGACTGCAGGGGGGGCAGTTTGGAGTGAGCGGGGCAGTTGGGGGTGAGCAGGCCAGTGGGGAGGGAAGGTGAGAGCGAGCAGGCCAGCAGAGGGGGCAGTTGGGGTGAGCAGGCTGGCGGGGGGGGGGGGGGCAGCTGGGGCGAGCACACTGGCACGGGGGGGCAGTTGGGGGTGATCAAGCTGGCGGGGGGGCGGGGGGGCATTTGGGGGTGAGCAGGCCGGCAGGCAGAGTGGTTAGGAGCCAGCAGTCCCGGATTGCAGGAGGGATGTCCAACTGCTGGTTTAGGCCTGATCCCTGTAAACCGGCAGTAGGATATCCTTCGAGGGGTCCCAGATTAGAGAGGGTGCAGGCCGGGCTGAGGGACAACCCCCCCCCCTCCCCCCCGCACGAATTTCGTGCATCGGGCCACTAGTTCATTATAGAACAACAAATGTTTAACACAATTTTAGGCACAAACCAGCAGACAGGGAAATAAAGATAATGAAGTGAAGGGGCCGAGGAGGCTGTGGCGCCCCTTCTCCCTGGTCCTGACAGCTGACCAGCTCGGTCTTCCAGACGGAGCAGGAGGGGGGCCAGTCCAGGAGGATGCACTCCTGCAGCCCCACCCACAGCCCCTGCATCGAGGAGGACTGCTGGGGACACCGCCTGGCTGATTCGCACTCGCCCTCTCATCTGAAATTCTGAAACTTGATACTTCTTGTGTCATTTCTCCCTTCTGGTTTGAATATTCTACAAAACCTACCATTTCTTCTTATTGTGTAAATAATGAGTCTACGGACAAATGTCTCTTCAACGGACTTTCTAGAGGCTTGTGAGTATGGTCTAAGGCAGTGGTTGGCAAACTGCGGCTTGCAAGCCACATGCGGCTCTTTGGCCCCTTGAGTGTGGCTCTTCCACAAAATACCAGCTCTTCCACAAAATACTGACTTCTGCGATGGGCCACGAAGTTTCAATCGCACTGTACATGCGCCCCCGCACGTGGTATTTTGTGGAAGAGTCACGCTCAAGGGGCCAAAGAGCCGCATGTGGCTCGTGAGCCGCGGTTTGCTGACCACAGGTCTAAGGGAAGAGCAACGGGGTGCCTTGCTCCACAGTGGGCAAGCCTCTCAGATCCCACAGCTAAGCAGCAGATGATCACGCACTGCAGTGCAGTCTACAGACCTTGTCACATAGAAACCCACACCTGAAACCTATTCTGATCATATTAACCAACTAGTGGCCTGGTGCACGGATTCGTGCACATTTGAAAGGAAACTAATTAGAAGAAATATTTTAATATTACTATTCGCCCTATCTCTATAATAGAAGTGTCAGAGATGAAAGAAAATTAGCAAAATGTATATGAAAATAATATAAATTGGTTAATAAACAATAACAAGATATAACTAAGATATGATATAAAAACAACAAAAACATATAAAAAACATTGATAAAAACAATGACTGATAAGTTGATTAAACTTATTCTAATATCTCCCTGTACACCACATTAAGAGTAAAAACACTTTCAGAGTGCTTGACTAATTTCCCTTGTGATGAAGTATTTACAACTTTAACTTTAATGTCACATGCTCTTCGAACTCGAGAGAAAGCAACATATAACTGACCATGTCCGAAAACAGGTTCAGGTAGGAATATTCCTACTATGTCTAGAGTTTGTCCTTGTGATTTATTAATAGTCACTGCAAATGCTGGCATCATGGGAAACTGTCTTCAAATTAATTTAAATGGGAGGGGGGGGACAAATATCACGCATGCATTTATTTTTAAATTGCCAGTGCACATTATATGCACCGGGCTGTCGGTCGGACATACGGTCACTTAGCCTTTTATTTATATAGATGTCACCCCGATAAACTTAATTAGAAAAGAAAAAAAGGGACGCATTGCAGACACCACCACCACCGCTACTACACCACGTGGACTCCAGGTGGCGCCACAGCCCAACACTCACAGGCTTAGCTGGATCATCCCAGCAGGAGCCCTCTCAGCTCCATCCCTGCCAAGTCTATTTATATTTAAAACATAATTATAACAAGACATCGTTATAAATATCTTTTCAAAATTTATACTCACAATGTTATTCTAACACTGCTGTAGAAGCTTGTTCTATCAGTGTGCTTACAGACTTAGCGTCTTAGCATGTGTGGCTGCAGCACTTAAATAGCTACACCCTCACGCACAACCACCCCAGGAGCCAGACTGGTAAGAATGGAGAGCACTCGGCTCAGCTCCAGGCGGGTGCACAGGCTCTGGCAGAAGCTCTACACCTGCCACTCCTCGGGGACTGCCACAGCATACAGGGGACCTCGCCTTGTACTTCATTTTAAGGGTAAGTGATATAACCTAGAAAACGTCTTTCTTGTTTTCCTCTCTTTTTCTCATTAAACAATTCAACATTGTTTTTGCTCCACTTCAAGTGCCCTCATTCCAACTTTATTATTTATATAATACAATGACCTCTAATCCTTCTTCAGAACAGAAAAAAACATGGCAAATGGGAGGGAAAAATAGATGATTCAAGAGATCTAGATCTCCAACATACAAAATTCAGTTTTCAGGGCAGAAAGACCAGTGCAATGCAGCCACTGGCCCTTCCTCCATCAGTGCCATGGACTAGGCACTGGCCACACAGACCCCAGTCTGGAAAATGGGCAGGAGAACTACCAAGGATGCACACTCCCCACCCACAGAGAGAGCAGGACACTGGAGACTCTGGGCTCACCGCTGATTTGGCCTGCGGGTCTCCGATTGGGATGACCACATTTGTGCACCTGAAAACAATCCTCGTGTCAGTTCTGTGCCTGAAAACTATCCCAATCACTATTAACTGTCAGGAAACAACTACCCCTATGCCCTGCCCACGCCACAGAAATCCACTCCTGAGAACAGAGGCCAAAGTTCTTGTCATTCACTTATCTGGTTCACTTGTCATTACTACATACACATAAAACTAACCCTAACATCTCTCTGGGAACCCAAAAGTGAGGGGCGGTGGAAAGGTGTTTAGAAAGGTATTTGTTACTCTTCACTTTTAGGAATTCTCAATAGTCCAGGGAGATTCCAAACACATCAAGAATGAATTACTTGTATCAACTCTAGCCTGAAATGTTTCCCATTCACTCCTGGAGCAGAGAGCACTGTGTTACTCAGAAACCTTCCCATCAGGCAGTGTGTCAGTGCTCTGTCTCAGGCAGGCCGCCTGGGGCCTGGAGCGAAAGCGCAGTTCCACCTGGCAGGAAGGGCAGGAGCAAAAGCGCTGCTCCAGGAAACCAGGTGAGCTGCCTCCTTGCTGGTTTACCGACAGGGTCTAGAAGCTGCAGAGACCGGGTCCTATGGAAAACCTGGTCTACAGCGGACTGGAGACCCACCATTTGCCGCCAGCCCCATGGGGACCCTTAACCCCTAGAGTGCCGGGAAGCACGATTGCGCTACTCCTGTCTTTCACCAAAAGTGCCGGGAGCGCTAACAAAGCTTCAAAATGGCGTCCAGTTCTAGGTCTGCTTTTATTAGTGATGATGATATTGCTAAATATGTCAATGTAATAAAGGTTTCCTTAAGTTTTGAATATGTAACTTCATTTACCTGCGACTCATAATTTTTTTCCTAAACTGCTGTAAAATCAGCAAAAATGCCTTGGCAATTTTAGCATAGTTCCTAGGATATTGGTTGGCACTCAAAGGGTTAAGCACTCAGAATTAGCCAGTTTTAAGAGACCAAAATACAGTCCACCTTACTTCCTATTTGTAAAATCTCACCCAAGTCCTAAAGCTGTTAATGTGAGAGGCTATTTCTGGAAATTAAGGTCAAGAAGGCTACTTTAAAATTTTTTAATTATTATAAATAAAACGTTTGTGACAGGGGAAAAAACTAAATATACGTGTGCATATGTGAACTTTAGGATAATCTGAGGATTTCAAAGCATCATCTGTTCAGTTGGAATAGTTATTCCATAAAGTTTATTTGTAAGCATGTGAAAATTCCCAACTAATTGAATTCTGGGGCAAAAGTTCTGACAGCAAGTGTGCACAGGAGATGTAACACCTGCCTCCTCCTCCTCCTCCTCCTCCTCCTCCTCAAAAGCATTATTTTAACATGAAGTAACCAACACTTCATGATAAACCAGGAAGTGACTGAGTCATGGGCCGGACAACAGGCACAGGCGCAATGGAGCAGGTGCCCACCTGGATGGGTCCCACTGACATGAGCAGGCTCTTCAGCTGGGCGTCAGTGGTGGATGACGACAGGCCTTCGACAGACACAACGCAGGGCTGCGGCTTGCACTCCACCACCCGCAGGTTCTGCTTATTTGGCATCGGGCGCCCGCGGCCCATTGGCCCTGCTGCTCCCCGGCCTCTGCCATGCATGACGACCTGCCAACGACAGAAGGGACTGATCAATTCAAAAGCTTTTGTATTTTGGCACAACTACCAAGATATATAAGTGAGCAAATAACTCAGAATCCGTTCAAATACACCACGAGCTATAGGATTTTCTATAGTTTCTGCTGTGCTCAGAAAAGAACTTAATATCTAAAGAGGACACCACCACCCACCAAATGTGAAAGGAAAAGACAAGAGCTGATTTGGAGCCCAGCAGGGATGAGGCGGCACCTCTGTTCCCTCCGTGCTAGGGGTGAAGCAGCAGGCCCCCGGGATCCAGAAATGCATGCCAGCTGCACACTTAGGGTTCAGGTTAGTCCTAACGGCCCAGAGCCTGAGTTTCTCCCTCTGTACTCCAGGCCAACTCCGCAGGGATGGTGCAACCCACTGCCACCACACAGGCACCACAAGCCACCACCCCACAGATCCAGCTCACGTGGTTAAGTACGCACGTGCACTGGCACCCTGAGCACTGAAAGGCCGCTTCTGCCACAATGGTCCCCTGGCTGCTGCCCTTTACATTCACCTGCAGAGCTTTAAATCAAACCAAAAGCCCAAACCAAGGACAGGGGGCCTCTACCCTCACCTCCAAAATTATGACATCACTGGCCTAAGGTGGGGCCCAGACCTCAGAGTTGCTAAAGCTGTCAGGGTTCAAAACACTGTTCTGGGACCTTTAAAGAAAGAGGACAGAGCTGATCTTTCTGGTCTGTTCCAACTAGGAAACAAGACAGAGCACCAGTGCCAAGTGTTTCCCTGAAAACTGAACTCATCCAGCACAGGACATGCGTGAAAAGCAGCCAGAGTGGGTGGGACTAGCCGCACTAGACTTCCCAGGTTTCCTACCCAGACTTGGCCCCAGAACTGTGGGTAGAAAGGAGAGCATGCCAACTGGCCATCTCCAGGGCACAGCTGAGGGCAGCAGGAAACCACCGCACCCTGGGTGGTGGGTGCCGTCCCAAAGCTGCACCATTAAAAAGTCATGACAGGAAGCATGCAGGCACTCCTCCCCCCACACCATTCCAGCCTCACACTCGCAGCACTGGAGGACACAGCTGTACCTTCTTGGTGGGGTGAAGCCCTTGGATGCTCTTGATGCCCGGAGGGCCTGCTGAGTACACGTGGGTCCCGACCGGCAGGTGCTGGGGCGGCTGAAGGGCCCCCTTGGTCAACGTCACCTTGCGGGCAGGCTGCGGCCTCACTTCCGGAGGCGGGGCAGGCCGCTGGGGCTGGCCGTCCGGGTGGAAACAGCCCTCGCTCTCTCCGCCCTGCCGACAGGAACAGGCAGCATGCCGGTCAGTCTCCGCACAGCCCAGCCCCCTCCCCAGCATCGCAGTGTTCCACTGAGACACAGACCACCAAATGCTAGAACACCAAACCTGTCGTTTTACTAGAGCCACTAGGACATTTTTTACTTGACAGTGTTTGGGTTTAAATAACAGTTTTGAAATGAAAAACAGTAAGATCTTGGATTGGTATACCCACTCAAGAGGTCTGTAATTAAAGGAAAAGCTGTTCAGGTCAGTAAAATATTGCTTAACTTGAAAAATACTTCATACTCAACATGCATTTCCCATCTGCATGAGTATTTGTGTTAGAATCTGAGAGTTTGCATAATCAATGATCTTAACTCCTATTTAAACTTAAGGGAAGCAAGCCACCATGCTCCCTCCTCCCCTGGCTGTGGTCATGAATCCTGGGCCATGTCCAGCCCTTCCCTCCTCGGACACAACACCGCACACGGACTGTGGGCACAGGGCTCCTCCTGTTGAGTCACAGTGCCATTACCAACCAGAGTCGATGGCTCAAAGGAGGAACTCCTGCATCCATAGAGCTTTGTAAGTATCAGAGACCTAACCTTTTTGCATTTTACTAATATTCCCTCATTTCATGACCTAAAACACTGTTCATCAGTGAAGAAGTAAGCACACACTCAAGCTACACTGATAGTCATAACTCCACCAGGTAGCAAAGCCCCTGGCGGTGCCGGTCGGCCACTTTTAGTGTGAAGTGTAGCATCTTCCCAGCAGGGAGCTGGTGACCAGGACGGAAAAGTGGATACAAGAAAGTGAGACCTGGACCTGCTAAATTATGTCATCTTAACTGAAATGGATGCTTGAAGGTGAAAGCAGATTCAGACTTCTATGAGCACTACACTCTGCTCCGACATAAACAGAAACATACCGGTCAATGGCTAATTAACCTTCCCCAATTCAGACTGCTCAGTTATGGAGCATTTCCAGGAGAAGCTTGGCAAATTAGCCCAGAAGCAGCCCATATATTTTTCTGTCTCTTTTCCCTCTAAATGTACCTTTTGAAAACAGTTTAATGAAACAAAGGGAAGGAACAGGGGCTGGAGCAAGCCAAGAATAGGTAAAATGTTTGCAATAACTGCCCAAATGGGACCTAAGGAAAATGAGATTAAAAAGTCAGTCTTCTGGCTATGGAAGCATGGAGAGAGCAGCAAAGCCTCCCTACCCCCAACTCGAAGCATATAACTGGGCAAACAAGCATTCCAGGACTCGGAAGTGGAGGAGCAAGAGCAGTGGATACAGGGCTGTGGGATAGGAAATCCCAGGAGGCTGACTGAAATATCAAGCAGCATCATCAGCGAAGTCAGTGGAGGAGATAGGAAACATCCACAGATCTGATGGCCTCTGATCTTGGTCCTGTTTGCAACAATAGTCGGGCAGCCAGAAATCTGAGAAACAGGAAATTCTGGCCATGAGCTACTGAAGGCGTACGTAGGTCCTCCCCATGCGGCTGACAGAGCCTCAGGAAGCTAGCAGGAAGAGCCTGAGTGGGCTGCAAGTGCCCACTCTGACCACACAGATTACCTGCAAAGGGCCCCAGGAACCTGGACACAATCTCTTCCTGACCTAATGACTGACCACTGAGCTATGCAATAGGGCCAAGCCCTAGGAAACCAGGCTAATAAGAATAAAAAATGGACAAAAACTATTTTGAACTGAATAAAAATAAAAATACAACATATCAAAATCTAGCGGATGTAACCAGCCGGCATGGCTCAGTGGTTGAGCGTTGACCCATGAACCAGGAGGTCATAGTTCAATTTCTAGTCAGGGCACATGCCTGGGTTGCAGGCTCAATCCCCAATAGGGGTTGTGCAGGAGGCAGCCAATCAATGATTCTCATGACTGATGTTTCTTTCTCTCCCTCTCCCTCTCTAAAATACATGTGTGTGTGTATTTATGTATGTATATAAAGAGCCAGGGTATGTAACGTTCAAAACGACCGAATGTACAACCGAACACTGGAAGTCAGTCCTGGGTCGTGCTGAGGGGGCTGCAAATCAGGACCAGAGAGAGGCCCGGAGAGAGAAGCAGGGTCTGATCCACAGCCTCTGTGGCAGCTGTTGATCAGCCCTTGCCTCTCTTTCTCTCCCGGCCTCACCAGCAGACACAGGGGCTGCTGATCAGCCCCACTTCTCTGATCAGGCCCAAAGATAGGCCTGGAGATGCTGACTGGCATAGAAACCGACCAATCAGAACCAAATCTGGATGAACTGCAAAAAGCCAATGGCTGCCTAGGAGGTGGAGCTTTTGATGCTGACTGGCATAGAAATCGACCAATCAGAACCTAATCTGGGTGAACTGCAAAGGCAGAACCTAAGGTGGGGACTGAGGAGGGGTTTTAAGTGCAATAGCTGTTTGGTGTAAGGTGTAAGAAAGCAGTTCAATTTTTTAATGACTAGTTTGGCAGTATAGTGCATATGGCTGGCTATCAGTCCAGATATAGGGATTATGTATTTTTGTCTGCCAAGAGCATCTCCTCCTGCTGAAAAGGCTTTTCCTCCCCATTTAAGCAATCCTATCCTATATAATCTATCTATACAATAAAAGGGCAATATGCTAATTAGACCGGGTAGACTGGACATCTTCCGGTCATCCAACTTCCTTCCGGACAAAGCCATGGTGGTGGGGGCTGAGGCAGAGACAATTAGGGGTGATCAGGCCAGCAGGAGAGGGCAGTTGAGGATGAGATCAGGCAGGCAGGGGAGGGCCGTTGGAGGCAAGATCAGGCCAGCAGGGGAGGGCAGTTGGGGGTGAGATCAGGTCAGCAGAGGAGGGCAATTAGGGGCGATCAGGCCGGCAGGGGAGAGCAGTTAGGGATGAGATCGGGCTAGCAGGGGAGGGCAGTTGGGGCGATCAGGCAGGCAGAGGCAGTTAGGGGCAATCAGGCCGGCAGGGGAGAGCAGTTGGAGGCGAGGTCAGGCTGGCAGGGATCAGGCCTAAACTGGCAATCAGACATCCCCCAAAGGGTCCCCGATTGGAGAGGGTGCAGGCTGGGCTGAGGGAACCCCCGCCCCCCCCCCCCGCATGAATTTCGTGCACCAGGCCACTAGTGTGTGTGTGTGTGTGTGTGTGTGCGTGTGTGTGTATATATAATCTAGGGGATGCAACTAAAACAGTTATATCAGAAAGGAAAAGATACCTATAATCAATAACTTGAACTTTTATCTGAATAAACTAGAAAAATAAAAAGAAATCAAACCCACAACAGAAGAAAGGAAATAAGATCACAGTGAAAGGCAATGACAGAGTAAACAGAAAATCAATAGAGAAAAATCAAAGTTGGATTTTTGAGATCAACAAAATTGATCACCCTTTAAACTGACCAAGAAAAAAATAAGAGAAAACACAAATGACTAAAATCAGGAACAGGAGAGGGATTATCAGAACGGGTACTAGAGACATTAAAAGGGTGACATGAACAACTTTTTATCAACTAATTAGATAATTTCGATGAAATAAAGAAACTCCATAAAAGATGCAAGATACCAAAAAAAGACCATTAAAAATCTGAGAAACGCCCTAGCTGGTTTGGCTCAGTTGGATACAGCACTGGCCTGCAGACTGAAGGGCCCCGGGGTCGATTCCAGTGGCTGGGTTGCAGGCTCAATCCCGAGTAGGGAGCGTGCAGGAAGCAGCAGATCAATGATTCTCTCTTATCATTGATGTTTCTATCTCTCCCTCTCCCTTCCTCTCTGAAATCAATAAAAATATATTTTTTTAAAAAAAAATCTGAGACAACCAACTCATTAAAAACTTCCCAGAAAAATATGTCCAGGCCCCAATGAATTCAATGATGAATTCTATCAACTATTTAAAAAAAAAAAAAGACCACTCTTTCAGAGAACAGAGAAGAGCCCTGCCCAGCAGGTCAGCCTGAGCACCGAAGGATCACAGGTTCAATCCCCAAGCCTGGTCAGGGTGTGTCCACAGGCAACCAATTTGATGTGTCTCTCTAAATCCATGCTTCTCTCTTTCTCTCTCTTCTCTCTTCTCTCTCTCTCTCTCTCCCCTCCCCCCCTTCTCCTCCCTTCCACTCTCTCTCTCTCAAAAAAAAAAAAAAAATCAATGGAAAAAATATACTCAGGTGAAGATTAACACAACAAAAAACAGAGAGGAAGAAAATATTTCCATTCATTCCTTGAAGCTGGTATTACTTTGATTTAAAAAAAAAAAAAAAAAAAGCCAAAGACATAAAAAAAGAAGGAAAGCCACAAAAAAATATACCTTGTGAACACATGAAAAAAAGCCTCACAAAATATTAGCAAACTCATGCAGCAACAAAGAAAAAGCACCAGACACCAGAACCAAGTGAGAGCTGTCCCAGGAGTGCAGGGTTGTCTTAACATTGGAAAATCAATCAATAGAGCAGACGACATTCATGAAGGCAGGACCACAGGACCTCCGCACTGAAGCAGGAAATGCTCCCATCAGGAGCATTCAACAGACCAGGAGCAGGAGTCCTGTGGTGAGAGGCCTGGCGAGCTGAGTGCTCTCTCCTTAGGACCATTTCCAGCACACCCACCACCTGGGGAGTGTTCAGATGCTAGTGATCCTGGGCTTTACTCCAGAACCATCTGATTTGAAGCTCTGAGGCTTGAACTCAGGCATAGCATACATGTTTGCAGTATAGTATGATCAGGAGTATACCAGGGTCTGCACCAACATTGTCTCCCTCAACTCCCCTCCCTGTAAACATTATCATCCTCTTTACAATTGAAAACTCCCGGCCCTGGGCCACAGAAAAAGTGCTGGGCCCGGTTGTCCCCCTGGTAGGGGAGGCGCTTCCACTCCCATGACTGCTTCCAGCTTGGCTATGAAAACAGAAGGACTAACCATCATTCAAGTGAATTAAATGAAGAACAACTATGATAATGCTGAATTTTTGCAATTTTTTCTAGAAATCATGCTGAGCACTCAAGGCTTAATGATAAGTTATTACATTTTTTAAGAAA